TGGAGAATCCTTCAGTTTATGACCACGCCATTTTTCTTTACTAGATGGAGGTCGATCAACCTCTATGGATCCTGCCCTTGATCGAGTGGGCAAATCTCTGTCATCAGAGTTAAAATCCAATGACCGAGGACGTGATCGAATGATCGTCCTGCATTTAAAGGTCAAAGAAGGACCCGAGCAGACACCAGAGGCTGGTCCCCGAGGAGGTTGCCCAAGGAAGTCACTGGAAGGAATAGTAGGGACAGAGATTGGAGTAGACATAGACCTATCAACTCTAATATCCATGGAGGGCAAACGACCCTTTACATGGCGTGAAAAAGACTCAGATGGAGGCATGGAAAGGTCTGTCTGTACTCCCACTGTAGCAGTGGAGTGGAGTGCAGTGGCATATGTCCGAGGTGGAGTAGGGAACAATAGCTTCCGAGCCTCAGGATAAGAGATGTTATTAATAGTCTTCAAACGATTTACCTCTTTTTCCTCCACCCACTTAGAGCAAGACCTAAAGTAAGAGGGGTGGGAACCACTACAATTAACACAGTGAGGGTCCAGTTTGCACTTGTAGGCGTCATGGTCCTTGCCACCACAACGAGCACACGTCACAGAACCACGACAAGATGTCTTTAAGTGACTGAACCACTGGCACTGAAAACATCGAAGAGGGTTGGGAATATAGGGCCATACCTTACAGTTCAAATAACCTGCCTAACAGCGGCAGGTGGATGTGGTGATGAAAACGTCAAAATCAGAACTGAAGTCAGCACCATAATTCCATCGTGGGGAATTCAAGGCAGCGTGGGGAGTAACCTCAAGGGGTATATCCCCGATGGTCTTTGAATTCAAGAGGAGTTCACTGTGCTTAGCTGTGGATATTTCAACCAAGATGTCTCCAGAACGGAGCTTATTAACTGATTTTGGAGAGCAAGCAAGCCCCTCTAAGCCCTTCTGAATAAAACAGGGAGACATTTGCCCAAAGATTTATCGGATAGTGAATGCAAGATCAGAAAGCGAGGTACAGGTCCACCTTGTGGTGAAGACTGCTGTTCAAAGTCTTCCAGGCGTGGTCGTTTACCAATAAGCTGAGTTTTTACTATTTTTTTATTTGGATTGGGGGGATCCATAATTAAGAAGAAAGATTCAGTGCCCACTGACCCCATTCGCCATGGAGTACTACGAGGGGACGCACTACAATGTCAAATAAGGACACTGCAGCAATGTCAGGGTTTCGTGAGCACTATACCCAAACATCAGCATCAGATACGATGTCCACAACACCCGTTGAGAACGCCCAACACTGGTACTCAGTTGACCATTACCCGAGTGGACCAGCCAACTGACCCTGGGGGGGGGGCAATGCCACCCGTCTACAGGAATTCAAGGCCAACGTGGTGTGTTGCAGTGCCCCAGACACCACTCAACAACCAGGATCCTCTCATCCCCTTTAGGGTCGCCACACACGACAAACACGTGGGTGGATGTTTAGATCACAGAGGAAGTAACTGAAAATACAGAACCTTCCCTGGGAGGTCCCCTCACCACATACAGGAATCCACGTCGAGGGGAGCGCTTTCGAAAGGTGGACTTTTCTTCTTCAGGGGCAAACATATGCATACATATTAAGGTGTTTATCAACACTCACAAACTCTCCATAAAATTGATTTCAAGAACGCCAAAACCTAATCCATTAATTTAGTCAAGTCGTCATAAAAATTAAAGAAACAATCTTCTTAGCAATATGAAATAAGTAGAAAACAATAACCATGCTAACCTTTCTGGTTAAATTGTTATCACTAACAGTAAAGATAATACCCAAAATGGTATTCTTAAACCTTCATTGCCGATGATGTATTTATTTTCTATCCTTAAAGCTTTATTATTTATACTGTGCCCTCGGTGGCTTAGCAGCAAACTTGAAGGCTACAACGGTAAAATTCGAAGTTCGATCCCTATGATGGGTCTAGGATAAATAGTCCATTCTGCAACATTGCCCTTAAAACAAAGCAAATATACTTATACCACATCACAATCCATCATTCTAATTCTACATATACACTGATTTTAGTTAACCTTAGACATAAAATAGTGATAATTATTTCTCAGACTGCTACATATTACATATCAAGAATATATATATATCTGTTTAATAATTAATAATATTTTATAAACAAAATACAATTATGTAACTTATACATCATATACTAATTTACATTAAATAAATTATACTTCAAACTGGCTTTGTATGCAACACCTTACGAAGAGTTAAAGCACACATTTTTACATGCTTTCTGTGTGCGCCATCATTAGTGACACCTTTCCATGAACAGTGACAATCAGAAGATGCTTAAAGTCAGGTAAAGTCTACGGATTGCGTCAATACAATAATCAGCTGAGAATACAGATTTTATCCAATCTCTGAAAACAAAACGACTGTTGCTAAACACCACTGTTTCTATGTAATGCCTCCACTGAAAGCTACTAATTAAAAATATTGTTGCTAAACACCACTGTTTCTATGTAATGCTCCCACTGAAAGCTAGTAATTACAAAAACTGTTGCTAAACACCAGTGTATATCTATATAATGCTCCCACCGAAAGCTAGTAATTACAAAAAATGTTGCTAAACACCACTGCGTTTCTTTGTAATTATTTCACTAAAAGCTAGTAATTACAAAAACTGTTGCTAAACACCAGTGTATATCTATATAATGCTCCCACTGAAAGATAGTAATTACAAAAACTGTTGCTAAACACCACTGCGTTTCTTTGTAATTATTTCACTAAAAGCTAGTAATTACAAAAACTGTTGCTAAACACCAGTGTATATCTATATAATGCTCCCACTGAAAGATAGTAATTACAAAAACTGTTGCTAAACACCACTGCGTTTCTTTGTAATTATTTCACTGAAAGCTACTAATTATAACTACTGTCGTGAACTGCCATCTTGTGTCTGTATAATGTTTCATTGAAAGTTAATAATTACAACAAATGTTCCTCTACATCATAGTAATTCTGTGTAACAAATGTATACACAGCGAATTTTCGCTGAAAAACGTTTCTTCATTGAAGATTCTCACGGAAAGCCACTTCTCTATTTGCTCACATTCCTTGTTCATTTTTTGTTGATAATTTGTAATTTCATGTTTTCAAACGCCTTCACTCATAACATCTCAGCATACAATTGGCCACATCCAAACACATGCTGTGATAAGTAAACACTTACTCCATAAAGTGTTGTGACTTGGCTTTTGTTTATTGTCATAGCAAAGACTACTTTGAAAGGAAGTTGTCTCCTGTGTAACTTTGACGGTAGGGCTGCATGTGATAGCCATAAAGTGATTCTTGGCAATAGAACGTGTTTTCCAGTAGCCTCTTCATTATCACCTCAAAGTATATTGTGTTAACATCACTGATACTAATGAGATCAACAAAGGTCAGATCAACATGATTGGTACTGATAAGATCAACAAAGGCCAGATACACATGATTGGTACTGATAAGTTCAATAAAGATCAAAGAGACTTCATTGGTACAGATAAGTTATCATTCTATGTTTGAGCATACTGGTGTGAAACCATTTTTCAGACTGCTACTCTAAATTGTCTAAAATTGTCGTGACAGATTAAGAGAATATCTCAGATAAAGAAAAAGAACTCAAACCTAAATCAAGAACAAAACAGTGTCCCTATTAGCTTGAGATTTGTGAAATACCTTCCTTTATTTTTTCTCATCCATTTCGTAGATGCCGACTTTTCTTTAAATGGTAACTTACTGAGTTGCAAAAATTGTCTGAGACTTCATACAGCGGCCACTATTAAATAATCGATAGATAACACTTTGACAGAATGTGGACTGCAAAAAAGATTGTTAACTGTGAAAAGTATTAACAGATCTTACTTTGTTACAATTTTACCACGGCTGAATTCCCTGTTTGATTATTGCCTGAAATTAATAATTGTAAATGTTCTGAAACTTGACATAAATAGAGACAATAGAGTAAAAAAAGGTCATGTTTCAGCGGGATAACGGTGAGATATATATGGATACAACAACTTGTTAGAGGATCCTGTTTCTTTTAGATCAGATTTTCAGAAAGAGAATGAACCTGGAGTCTGACATCGGATGTAGTGGAAGTTAAGACGAAGGTTATTGTACTTTTGACGAATAAAAGGGTTCAGATCAGCTATTTTTGGGCTTCTTTGGCAGCCCAGAACAGCTAGAAAAGCTAAAGAGCTAGATAAGGTCTATTTCACTCCTAGTGTGTGTACCATGCTGGAAGATATAAAGAACCTGTTCCATTCCTTACTGTTGCCATGTAATTACTGAGGTAATTACTAAAATTCTGTTAGGATGTGGAGTTGGAAATGTTTAGATTATTTAAGGTTAAATATTAAAAAATTAAAAACTCTACGGACAGTGATCACTCTTAGTAAGCAAACTAAAAAATATAGTCCTCAGAAGTAGAACAAGAAGGAAAAATTAAACGAAAAAGTATTTGGTATACAGAACAATTACAGCGTTATTTCGAAAATAATCGAACAGATAAGTTAAAGTTAATTGGGTAAACTTCTATTTTTATTGACCTGAATTTCATACCCTACCACGATGAAAAGGAGATAGCTGAGATAAACAGGAAAATATTTGAAGTTATGTAACTCTTTTGAAGCAAAACATTGAAAAGCGAAAGACCCAATGGAGAAGTTTTCCTTACAAAAATCATGGAAATATCAGAATCAAAAACACGTGCTATGTAACAAACACCAGCAAAAAAGTGGGTAAGCTGGTGATTATTTTTGTGTGTGGAAACATTTCAAATTTCATAGTTTCAGCGTGCAATGTTTATAATACAATTTACTATCTCTTTTTACACTTGAAACTAGTGTCGGGCCGACCCTAAATCTCGCCATTTTAATTTGGGGTATATCTTCTTCTTTTTTTTTTTTTGTTTAATAATCATCAGGTCGAAATGAAAGTACAGTCAGGAATCAATTTATATACTTACGGGGATTAGGCGATTGGTCTCGTTGGTCCTGTAGAATAAGAGATCGCAATCCAAAGTCTGTTAACTTCACAACAAAGTGTCCGTCTATGACACAGTTTGAAGACTTTAATTTTCCATGGTAGGAAATAGAGCTGTCATGTATGAAACTCATGCCCTGTAAAACATTAAGAATTTCATGTTAGTGATAAGTATAGTGTTTAGTGTTTTTTATACATGTATTATCAAACTTTTATTTACTGTTTGTGCTTTATTTAAATGTACTTACACATATAAAATGTCCCCTGATTGATTTATTTATATCTGTCTTTCTAGTAATTCAATCCATCTACTCATGTGTATATTCTCTCGCTAGACTTATACATACTGCTGTATTTAATTGTTTGTTCTATTCCTTCTACTTCATTGATGTATCTCACGTTGGTTGTTTAACTTATCAATTAATAATAATATTTCTGGTTACCTATAAAGAAACGTTATATAAGTTACAAGTTAATCAACCAAAATTTATTTCCAAACTTAATAGTGATTGTCTTCAGTATCTTAACGTACATAATATAAAATTGGACTTGTAATTTCATTTACAGCTACACAAGGGCTTCCTGCGCTATCTGTCCCTAATTTTTAACTGATAGACTAGAGGGAATACAGCCAGTCAACATCACCCACCGCCAAATCTTAGGCTACTCTAATGGAAGATGGGATTTTATTGTCAGTTTTATAATGCACCCTCTGTCGTAGATTGCGGAGGTCGAGCTTAGCCCAGTAGTTAGTGTGCCGACCTATGGATCTTTGTGTCCAATGTTCTTGTCACGTTACCACAACAACAAAACTCGCACTTTGAAGTAGGGTGTATCTACTGTTCAGTCAGAAAAGAGTAACCCAATAGTTGATGGTTGGTGATATTGACTAGCTGCCTTCCCTCTAGTCTATAATATCAAAACTAGAAACGGCTGGCGCATTTAGCCTTTGACAAAATAAAAACATAGTGCAGATCGTGATTTTTAATTTTGGGCAAGAGGACGTGAACCATGGATCCTCAGATCTCCAGTCCTAAATGCTAACGATTGAGCCTCATACAGAACAGGGCATTTAAAAAGTACAGTTACTCTTAGTGAATCTAAAACCAGACTATCAATTGGATTATTATTTCTTTATAGGATGACTCCATTATATTCCAAAGTTTCAAATACATTGTTTTATTGTTGTCCACCAAAGCGATCAGAAATATAAATATTTTCACCACCTTTTAGTAAACAAGTTAAGAAAATAAATTATAAAGACGACAGAAGACTTCTATAATTGCTTACCTCGACTATATCATTAACGATTGAATATCTGAAATTCCAGTCCAGAGAAAATCTATCATTTTCCAACAGCTTCTAAGGTAAAACAATTAATAATTTTTAGTAGTTATAAGTCTACTTATAAGATAGCTACAAAACGAAAGTATTAAAAAATGTTGCCTTCATTATAGAAATGTAGAACATAGTTGAAGCGTATCCAGTTAGGTTTAGCAAACGGAAGTGGACTAACGAATTTTGTTCTGTGACAGTGGCTTCCATACCTTACTGTAACAATGGAAAAAAATATTATCTGAATATGTTTTAATAAATTTATTTATTTATTTTTGGCTTGGAATGTGTGAAGAGATAAATATACGAATTGTGATATTCGCGTTTTAATTATTATTATTGTTATTTATTGTTTCACGTTGTTTTTTCACGTGTAATCAAAATCCGTCAGATCCATGTATTATTATTTATTATATTTTCTGTTCCTAGATGTTTTAAACAAGTAGTCAAAACTTTTGTATTTATGAAATACGTACAAAAGAAATTTATTAATTCCTTTGAGTTCGCCAGTAAGCAGACAGTGTATAAGTTGCTTCACAAGATTGTGGAGCATAGGTTTCATTTAAAGTATGGTTTATCATTGTTATTTAGTAAAGTTAAATTAATGAAAGAACTAACTTATTGTGTAACATTTTATCTAGGGGACATTCTCTGCTTGTACTTTGTAATTCTATTGTATATGCTTGTCTAAATTTCTGGGTAGAGGAGAGCAAACGCTCTAGACAGAGCATATTATTTAATAAAGTCTTCGTCACTCTTGCTCATCACACACATCTTGGTTACATACACATAAATACGCGATCACTTGCCTTATAATATATAATACTGCCTTATTATTTTTGTGTAAATTGTTATGATTTCAAGTAAAAATTGGTTTTATGTGTAAATATGTGGATCCTGTCTTTTACTTTGCTGCCCAACCATCACACCTATCGGGAAACACATCCGCAAAGAAGATCCGAAAACTCCTGTTCTTGTGGACCCAGACTTCTTTGCTTTGCTGAAAAAAGCTCGAGATACCAAAAGTAGAGAAGAAAGGTGGAAAAACTTTTGGTGGCATGACCGGAATCTCACTATTATGAGTGTGATGTGCTGACAAGTAGGATCAGAACATCACTGGCTTATTGAGACAATACACCCAGGAGTATGATTACAGATGGCATTCTCTGTGTGTTGAAGGGCGTGTAGTCTGTTGAAAGGTATGCCACTAGCTGAAGGAGAGAGACAACTATGTAGGGTGGTTGGATTCAGAGGAAGCTTACTCCTGGATGTGGGATTTTTGCCATTGCTGCATAGATCCCTACAGGCCATCTCTTTAGTGCTGTAGACTCAGAAGATGAATGAGAGCCATCTGGTACACCCAGAAGGCCTTATAGAGTTTTTCTCCTGAGGTTAAATCTAGGTAGTAGAACCCATGTGATGAAGGATTGCAGATGAGAGACAGCAGGGGTGAATGAGCTTCATCACTGCAAACTGGCTTTCCATCAAGCGAGACAGCAAGATGGAAACCAATGCTGTGCTAGGGAACAACTACAAGAAGAGAGGTATCAAGCTTACCCATCAGTGAGAATTGAGGCACCATGGATGGATGAAGTCCACTTCACCAACCTGTATCACTTCATGATACACACTAGTCCCCCTCATATCTGCAAAGTGGGAGATGTGAAACACAGCTGATGGGTCAATGCAAGAGAAGCGACAATGTCACACCTCTGTATGAAACACAAGGCTCTTTCAAGAAGATGGGCGAATTGAAAACTCTTGATATCATGGGATCCATTATCTCTATTACTTCCCGATCAAGTTCACTCAAAGAAAAGGACACTAAACCCCGTGAGCCCAAGGTGGAGGTGAGGATAACCTCTCCACTGGTGGCTGAGAGAAAAAGCCATTGAAGGGCTTGGTCATGCCTTATTTGTTTCTAGACAGGAGCTTTCTGGAGTGAGCAGATCTGGGAACAGGCAATGAAGTGTCTGAAGCTGAACCTGGAGAGTCATGAGCTTGTTTCCACCAAATTGTCGATAGGGTGTAGTAGCTTCATGGCTGCAGTGGTCAGTCGAAGTGCCAATGTAAACCTTCCAATCACTGGGATAAGGTAATGCACAATCTAGGATGATTGATTTTCAAAAATATAATGTCTGAAAAACGTTTTCCCCCTTCCCAAAAAAAGTAGCAACAGTTGCCAACAATCACTGCAGGGTCTCTCCTGTTACAGCGAGGGCAGTCATTCGTTGTGTTACTAATGATTAAAAGGGCTTAGCAATCCTTGCCTTCCAAATCCGTGAGTGGTAATTTGCAATATGATTTATGGTATTACACTGTACACTTGCCGTTTGGATGATAGTTAGGACTATTGTGAGGGAAGATTGTCACTTTTATTGAAGTAATGGTAGTTTGCCTAAACCTGCTACGGTTCTTCAACGAGCAAGGCTCTACTATGCTATGTATTTAATGCTCCCATTTTATGCCAGGGTTTGTGTTTCTCACAAGAATGTTGATGTGCAAGTTAGTGGCAGAATGAAAGTTTTAGTACTGGTATGTGAATTTTAGTTGAACAATAATTCAGATAAATTCTGCCATGAAGTATATTCACAAGCCAGAAAAAAAAATATTGCATCTTATCACTTACAGATGGCAGCACGTTTTTGGACCATATCTGTCAGAAGATAACTTGGTAAGTAACTTGCGTGGTTGCTATGGTAATGGCGCACTTGCCTGAGGTGTAATGTCAGAGTTCTCACTAGCACACATGTATGAAACTTTACATTGTTATTTATGTCTTATCCAACACAAAGTGAATCAAACCTAAAGAACATAACTACGATGCAACCTATAGTGGAGAATATGAAAGTATGATCAGGATATAGAGACAACGTGTGAAGTTAACTGTAAATACTAGCCTGACAAGCACTAATCAGAGAAGCATCAAGACTGCTGATTTCATTAGTGTAAGGGAGGAATAATTCAGTTTTAACACTGAGATTTTACTAAGGTATCGAGTTTTGTTGGACGAGATGAAAGTATTGTAGTCTCCCATTATATGTGCATATGAACATGGTTTAAACCATGTTTAGCAAGTGTTGGTGGGCTGTGTTTAGTTTCGAGATGCTGAAACAAATGTTGAAATTATCTGTGAAACGTGAAACTCTAGAACAATATGTCTGAGCATGACGAATTTAGATTTGAGGCAACCCAATGTTTTGTTAGTTATGCAGAAATATTTTGATTGGAAGATTGAAATATTGGATAAATATATACATATATATTATTAACATAGATCAGTACAAGCTCAATTCTGCATGAAAATCTAAGACGTTACACTTCTTGTTTTAGGTGAAGTTTCTTGTTGATCAAAGTCAATAAGGAGATGATATTGAGGTTATAATGAATTATCATGGGCAGAGGAATCAGGTCAACACTCACATGGTGTTCCATGTATATTCATCACTGTTGTGAATACTCTCACTGGTGGTGATGGCTAGCTGCCTTCCTTCTAGTCTTACACTGCTAAATTAGAGACAGCTAGCGCAGATAGCCCTCGTGTAGCTTTGCGCAAAATTCAGAACAAACAAACCATCTTCCTTCTTTCCTCAGTCTACATATTATTTAGTTATTAACATAATTTAAAGGTCTTACCAAGCTGCCAAGGGCTGCACCTTACCAGCTCGTTGAATGATATAATGTTGTTACCTGAAATACAAGTCATTCTCGGTCATTTACAAGTCACCTAAGCATCTCAAAGATTTTATTCATGTTTTTTAGATAAAACCTATCTCAATCTTGTATTGCAGTTTAGGAAGTCTGTCAAGAGTATTCTTCTGTCATGATATTTACTGTTACTGGTTGCCAAGACAGGTTCATCATCATATGCCTCACTTTCTGCTTTAAATTATTTGAATTGCCCAATCAAACACTTTATGCTCATTTCTCCACATGGCTCCTGTCCATGAAATTATATCTTTCCTGACTGAGCCATTCATTGTTATGGTCAGAGTAATTCTTTGTATACATACCTATTCCATGACTGTGTTGACCAGAACTGATCATTCCTTCCAGATGCTGCTGCCAACCTTCAATATATGTAAATTAATGTTATCTTCCTCAATCTACCCAATAATACTGATGTTACTCAGAGGATATATCTTCTCTACACCCTGGCCTCACTGACTGACAACTTGACCAATTTCCGTCTCTCTGTTACTTGTTCATCTGCCCTCTCTTTAAAGTGGGTTAGATTCATTTGTGGTTGCTCCGAGTAGTTGGCCAAATCATCCAAAAAGTGTAGGTGTAACAGGATGTAGGTTTGGCTGCTCCTGGGGCTATTCTTATGGCTGCTTTTTGCACCTTCTACAACTTGATCATTGTTGATTTTTTCACTGGTGCACTGCTCCATATTCCATTCTAGTCGTGAGTGTTTCTCTCAGATTTATTAGGCTTCTGTACTACACTATCTACGATGTAGAAAATTTCAGAAGTGCAAGACTCTTCACTGATTTTTAGCTTTCTGTGATCAACCACAAGACCTAGAAAAGTAACAAATTTTTTATGCTGAAATAATCTTGTACATATTTCAGCATGAGGAGTGATGTGCCTATGTGAGAATTGCTAGCCAACATCCAGCATGCTTTATCTGGTTGTATGGGTACTTTGTTATCTTTTGTCCACTGGCAAAGGCTTTTTTCTCTTCACTTGTAAACCTTCTACTGTCACCATTGGCGTACGCGAGATGCTTGCAACAATAATATTGTCAAAACATTATACAGCATCACTTCAGGAACTTCCAGTACAATGAGCAGATCAACTGTATATACATTAAGGAGATGGAAGCTGATTTTAAAAACACCGGATCTCTATTTGTCAAATTTCAACTGACAGCACTTAGTATTCAGCAGGGCCAATGTACACAAAATGCCAATATCACCTCTACTGTAAGCATATTTAAGGTCATATACCCCATTAGTGCACTCATGTGTATACATTCATTTGAGGTTATGGATTGCTTTGGTTTTGCACCTTACACCTTTGTA